CAAGTCTAGACACTCCAGACATTTCTATAATTCTATCCAAAGATAATAAAGAGTTGAACAGGAATTAATCTAGAAAAATGAATTTAAAATAATGATTGTTGATAACAGCTAAAAGCTGGGGTAGAGAAAAATACCTAACAATAGAGCATATCCAAACAACAGGGCACTATCTGACCATTAGGAATGATCACTTAGATAAATGATTAACTGACAATAATGATATACCAATTGTGAAATAAAGAGAGAAAAACATAACGTTAAAAACAACATATACAGTTGTAAAAGCCATCATTTTTAAAATCCTAAAAGGAGAAATGATTCAAAAGAATTAACAGTGGTGAATCATGACTGGAAGTGTATTTCCTTTTGTCTCATTCTAATATTTGATTGTTTCATATACTTTATGATATTATTTTATGATATATTGATGACTCCACATATATACAGATCTCAGAAGCTGTTGTTAGGTTCCTACCAATAACAACCCTATGTACAACAGAACAAACCACAACCTGGTCCTATACCATCTTATTGAGAGTCTTCCTCTTTTCACTGACCCTCTTATCTTAGTAAAGTTAGTAACTTAAAAAAAAAAAAAAAGACTTTACAGAAGTTGGCCAATTTGAAACGTTTACTATGTTCTATAATTCCTCCTTGGGGGCCAGGATGACCAAACTTCGTCTTTCATACTTCAGACATGTTGTCAGGGGGGACCAGCTGCTGGAGAAGGATATCATGTCTGGTAGGGCGAAGGGTCAAAGAAAAAGAGGAAGACCACCAGCGAGACGGACTGGCAAAGTGGCAGCATCAATGGGCTCAAGCATGGCAACAATAGTGAGGTTGGCCCAGGATTGGGCAGTGTTTCGTTCTGTCGTGCATAAGGTCGCTATGAGTCGGTACCGACTCGATGACACCTAACAACAACATAATTCATCTGGAGTCCCGGAGTGACGCTGTAGCAACAGACACAAAGGTTGGCTGTTCATACCCATCAGCCGTTCCTCGGAAACCCTATACACAGTGTAGCTATCAGTCAGAACCTACTCCACGGTACTTAACAACACCATAATTCATCTAGTAAATATGCCAGTGGGATGGGCAGGGCGTGGGGGTAGGGTGATGGATGGCTTAGATTTTACCATTGTTGTTGTTGTTGTTGTTAAGTGCCTTCGAGTCGGTTCCGACCCATAGCGACCCTGTACAGGGTTTCCGAGGCTGTAAATCTTTACGGGAGCAGAAAGCCTCACCTTTCTCCAGTGGAACGGCTGGTAGTTTCGAACTGCTGGCCTTAAGGTTCGCAGCCTGATTCATAACCACTACGCTACCAAAGCTCCTTACCATATACCTCTTTAAACAAAGTATAAAGACCCAAATACCTATCAAAAATACAAAGAGGTACATTTTAAGTTGTGCATGAAGCAGCGACCCCCACCCAAGTCTATTCATTTCGCAAGTATAGCTGCAACTGGTCATGTTCTACTGGGTGAATTTAAGTGGACAAATAATGCAAGAGTAAGGTGTAGCTCAAGAAATACAGAGCAGGAAAGGGATGGTTTTAAAATTTTTCCAGTACGTAAAAAAGGTGAAAAATAGAACAGATTTCACAAAAAGATGTTCAAGACTTCTACAACTAAAAACTGAAACACTGCTAAGAGAAACGGAAGACACCTAAGTAGCAGAAAGACAGACCATGCTCGGAGTCCTGGTGTGGCTCTGTGGGTTAATGTGCTGGACCTGCAAGGTCAGTGACACGAATCACATTTCAATAGCCACGTGTGGCTTAAATAAGCTATGTGCCGTGGAATTGGTTCTGGCTCACAGCAACCCTGTATAGGGTTTCTGAAGTTGTAAATCTTTACAGGAGCAGAAAGCCCCATCTTTCTTCCGTGGAACGGCTTGTAGTTTCCAACTGCTGACCTAGAGGCTAGTAACTACCATATTGGGCAGTGCCACTCTACAAAATGCTATCTAGTCTAGTGCTAGAAATCCATCCAACAGCACAGTTTAACTATGAGGGGGCTTCAGAAAGTGCATGGAGAAATTCCATTACCTTTTCATTCCATTTTTTCCACAAACTTTTGGAAGCCCCTTTAAAGTAACAAACTTTTTTACAAACTCATACTTTATAATAAAGTTTAGTTTTAAAAAACAACAGGAGGCCCTGGGTGGTGTAAACAGCTTGGTAGTTGAAAGGCCGGCAGTCTGGCCCCAGCAAAGGGCACTGTGGGACTTCCAGTATGGTGCTGTAGGATAGGTACTGGACTGCAAACCATAAGGTCGGCAGTTCAAACCCACCAGCTGCAACTCGAAACCCTATACAGGGTTATTATGAGTTGGAACCAACTCGACGGCACTTCACAACTACAACAACAAGTGGTGCTGTGGAAGACAAGACCTGGTGACCTTCTCCCATGAGGATCACAGCCAAGAAAACCCAGAGAGTCGTTATTCTCTGTAGCACATGGGGTCATCATACATTGGAATTGACTTTGACACAAACAACAGCAACAAGAGTGCATGAGCTAAACTTTATTTATTTTTTTTAAAGAAGAAAACAGCACCGTGAAGGTGACATGGCAAAGGGAGGCAAACGTGGGGATTTAAGCCAGTTCAAGTCATTCATTTTACCTGTTACCTCAGTTGTTTCCTTCACATTTGATGAAGGTAGCTGTATAAATGTACTAACTAGTTTCAAATTTACTGATTTATGGGCACATTTCGTGTAGCCTAAGAAAAGAAGCACAGAGACATTATGCTGGCCCTGGGTGCCACTTGTGCAACCAACACCAATGGGTACTTACAATACACAAGACATTACATTAGACACCAGGCTCCACGAAACACAGAGATCTCAGATCTGTGCGGAAGTCAGGCATACAAACAATTTCATCACCAAAGAAGACATTAAATGAAATGGGAGGAGGGAGGTGTCTACATAGCCATGATAATGCAAGGCAGACACATCTGAACTACTAAAGTGTGATTAAGGAAATCCAACAGAATTCAGGGTGAGTGGAGTAGGGAATTTGGGGATGTAATGGGAGACTAGGGTGAGAATGGGGGGTGGGGAAGGGAGATAGAAAGCAAAGATAATTAATATGTGTTGAAACTTCTGCTGGCTTATCTAAGTAGTTCATTAAGGTCTGGCCCTAAAGGCAACAGGCAGACAGTGAAGCAGAAGAATAGCAGAACATAGGCTAAGCTTACCCCTAATGGGTAGCTCGATGAAGGGTGGGCTGAAGAGGGAAAAGAAAAAGACCAAGAGAGGAAACAGTTTCCCAACTGACTAGGAAAGTCTCTAGTGTGGCACTGCAGGTAAGCACTGGACCCCAGGGTCAGTTTGAACTGTAAGGTTGGCAGTTCAAACCCATCAGTCACTCCTTGGAAACCCTGTACAGGGTCCCTAAGAGTTGGAACCAACTATATAGACTTAACAACAACAACATTCTCAATATTCAATGAACAGAAAAATATATGATGATAAAAAGCTACCAAGAATTAAGTAATCTTTTAAAATAAATTAAGAATTGTATTAATCATAATAATGATGATATACATATATATTAATGCTTTTGTGATGTGTCGTAGAGTCGGTTCTGACCCATAGTAACCCTGTATAAGGTTTCCTAGGAGCAGTTAGTGACCTTGAACCACCAACCGTGCAGTTCAAACGACTTTGAAGTCCAACGCATTAGCCCACAGCACCATACCAGGACTCCCTACATATAATATGTTGTTGTTGTTATGTACCATGGAGTCAGTTCCGACTCATAGAGACCCTGTACGGAGTTTCCGAGGCTGTAAATCTTCACGGGAGCAGAAAGCCTCATCTTTCTTCCGTGAAACAGCTGGTTCACAGCCCAATTTGTAACCACTACATTACCTGATACGTAAAGGAGCTCTGGTAGCGTAGTGGTTACAAATTGGGCTGCTAAACTCAGGGTCAGCAGTTCGAAACTACCAGCTGTTCCGCGGGAGAAAGATGAGGCTTTCTGCTCCCGTAAAGATTTACAGATATATAGTAGTACAGATAAATGCAAGCATATTTACTCAATCTACAAAGTTTAATGTGGACAGGATTCAGTGGCCCTTTGCAAAATTCTCCAGAGTTAGAAACTACTGCTCCAGATAACCATGGTTGTAAGTTTCTAAGACACAGCCAAGTTAGGCTTCCATCCTCCAGACTAGACATCCCGGGGTAATCATGGAATATGCTGATGACCAAGGATGTTAGAAAGTCTCCTGCAACCAGAGAAAAGGATTTGGCTTCTCCTTTGCAGCTAATGGATGAAAAAAGAGCTTTTAGGTGGCATCTCAACAAATACTCTTCTTTTGATTATTCACTGTCTAGGGAATGGTGATGGTGGTTGGATTTAGGGGTGGGAGTGAAATTTCAGTGTTTTATTGGTGGCGATTTTCTTTTTTTAATAAAAGAAAGACCTGGAGGACAGGAAAGACAAAGAATATTCCTGTACTCAAAACAGGACTCAGGGAACTTACTGATATGTCCAGGAAAACCATTTAGGAAAGACATTCTTAAAAAAACAGGAATCACATTGTCTTTCGATGTGAAATCTCACAATACGCAAGATTCCAATTTAGAGCATCTTTTGATGTGATAAAACTCTTTGGGAGTCGTTGGGCGGTGCAAATGATTAACCCTAACGGAAAGGTTGGTACAGTGAGTCCACCCAAAGACACTTCAGAAAAAGGACTACTCTGAGCACTCACTAATCATTCAAAACCTATGGAGTATGATTTCCTTATACACCCATGGAGGTTTTCCAGGAATCAGAAATGATTTATGGCAACTGATATTGGTACAAAGATCCAGTCTTATACTACAGCACTGCAAAAGCTGACACATCTTGAGAGACTAACCACCTGGGATCACAACACAGAAAAACCCAAATCACAGAATTTCCTCCGAAAGGGAACATGAATGCAATCAGCAAAAATGAAAGCAAGCACTCACCTGAAATGGGTAAAAGTGCGGACTGTTATCTGGAGATGTAAGTGTATGTTCTGGAGGGAGAACGGGTCTCATTCTGGGCACTGGGAGGCACATTTAAGAAATCCCAAATCAAAATAGTGTCATCATGGGAGCTGCTGATGATCTGAAACTCATCAAACTGTAGCCGAAACACACGTCCAGAATGTTCCTATGAAATATAATAGCTTAATGAATAAAATGAAAGCTTTATAATCCCTCTTATCTCACCTGGTGTGGCGCTGTAGAATCAGCACTGGACTGTGAACCACAAGGTCAGCAGTTCAAATCCACCAGGCTCTCCTTGGAAACCCTATACCGGGTCGCTATGAGTCAGAATCAACTTGACGGCACTTAACAACAACAACAACAACTCACCGTGAGGGATTTAACATAGGCTTCCCAAACAACTTTCCAGAATCTAATAAGCTTTGTCCTTCACCCCAAAAATCTTTTTTTTTTTTTTTTTCCTTCTAGATAATTTTCTTTTACTGAAGCTTGTATCCCAGGTCCTGGCCCATTAATATGTCAAAGTAGATCAAGAATATCTGAAGCCAGAACTAACATCAAAATGAATGCTGAAACATTAGAAACATTCTCATTAAATCAAGAGGAAAACAAGAATGGGCCTAACTATAGCTCTCCATGTTAATGCAAGAAACAATGAAACAGAGAAAGATAAAACGAATGAAAAAAAAACAAAAAACTGCATCAATATTTTCAAGTAACAGTCACCTCAAAAATAGGGCAGATTCAACAAGACTATCAGAAATTGAGTTTAGGAAGATTGCTAAAAACAAAATTAACATACAAAATATTCCTATGTGCCTAAGAATATTCCTAAGAATACAAATTGAGGAAAATTCTATTGTACTAGTATACAAAAAATGTGTTCTAAAAATACAACATAACCACAAAAGTCCATATTAAGAATTCTCCCAAACCCATAGGAAGGGAGTATTGTGTACTCTATGAGAAAACCTGCTAAATGAGAATGTCTGCTTTCATATTTTAAATTGCAAGACCACTCCTTAGGAAAGAGTTCATAATAGTATAAGTGTCAAATATTCTGATTTTAGTTACACAAAATTAACAGAGCCATGAATCTTCCTGAAGTCATGTTGTGAGACACACAAGCTTCACTGTAGTATACCCACGCAGGTCTACTGCCTGCCCCCAGCCCAATTCAACAGATCACGTACCACCAGTGTGCGCAAACACAAAGTGCTTGCAGGGGCTCGAGGGTCAAGAGCAGCTTGCAAGTCCCAAACTTTAATTTTCCTGGAAAGGAAATGAGACCGTGATTAGTGGGAAAGTTATATACAAGTATATCTGCATTTTCTTGACAGAAAAAGAACCTAAGGTACTGCCTGTTATAAAAGGTAAGGTGGCCTGTCAGATAAGCACTGAGCTGCTAACTACATGGTCAGCACTTTAAACCCACAGCTGCTCCGTCTGTAGAGGAAAGGGGAATCTGCTCCCATAAAGACTGGCAGCCTTGGAAACCCTATACACAGTCAGTATGAGTCAGAAATCAACTCAATGAGAATGGGTTTGGGGATAATAAAAGCCAATGTGGCTTTCATCCAAACCATAATAAAATCTCCAAAATAAAAGCTAACAGGGAAACATGCTTATGTTTTACAAATTATCTGCACCAATCACAGTTGATTTTGATTGGGGGAAGGGGTACCTATACATACTCAGAATTGCTGCAATTTTGAAGAAATGTTATTTTAAGAGAGACAAGAAAATAATTTCAGGTTATCTGAATTCAATTCCTGACTTGATAATCTATGTCACGAAATTCATTAATCACAGGACTCTCTGGGGCCGAGTAGGTGCTGCTGACAGAGGCTAGGGCTCTGTGTGAAATTCCAAAGATACCTTTCTGAAAGCTAAGCAAACACTGACAGATCAACTAAATCGTCTGTGAGGTGTGCATCATGTTTACAGTTGCCATTTGCTCATTTAAAAGGTCAGAAAGCCTTTTTAGAGGATCTGTTCAATTTACCAAACACACACACACATACATTTATCATCCAACTTACATACACATGCCAAGGACTCACAACCCTCACTGTGTAAGTTACTCGCTGAATTGACATGTGGTCAAAAGCATCGGCTTCAGCATCACAGTGGCTCTGATTGGGCATTGTTGGGGCTTGGGTATCCTTACCTGATTAACTGGATATAATGGGCAGGGGCTTTAGAAAGCTCACGGGAAAGTTCCATTATCTGTCCATACTATTTTTCTACACACTTTATGAAGCCTCCTCACAACACCTGCCATCTACCATTTACGCAGAAAGTACCTAGCTCTGGGCCTGGCCCCTGCACAGCTGCTTCCTTTCTGATACACTTCTCTTTCTTTCTGATACAGTTACTGCAACACATTTCAAAGTTGGAAATACAGACCCATCATAGGCCCCACTGACAATCCTCTTGTTGTCAAACCGGATGCAGCGGACCAATTCTTCATGTCCCTCTAGGACTCTTAGGCAGGCGCCACATTCAATATCCCATAACCTTGAATGAAAACCAGACCTCAGTGAAACAACTTCCCACACATGATTCACACTGTCCTCAAATTCTTTATATATGTACCTTGTGGGATTTTCTCTATCCTACAAGTCTTTATTTTCATCTCACTCCCAGTCCACACTATACATATTCAAAGTTATAAATACATTTGTAGCATGAGTGTGCTTTTAAGCATTCACTTGGGAGGAAGCACTACTTTCCATTGTATTTGATTTCATACAGCTTGAAACTTTTTTAAAATCATGAGCATGCTTTTACTATTTGAATAGATCAACAAACAAAACCTTTAATCATATTTAATCCCTAGGCAATTCTTTCGATAATTGGTCCCTGGTGGTGCAGTTTATGCTCTAATAGTAACTGAAAGGTTGGCAGTCTGAACCCACTAGTGGCACTGTGGAAGAAAGGTCTGGAGATTGGTTTCTGTAAAGATGACAGCCCTAGTAAAGCAGTTCTACTCTATGATGACATCATGAGTTGGAATCCATCAATGATGGCAAGGGGTTTGGTGTTTGGGCTTTCTCTTTATGTCTCTGAACAGATGAAAACATGTAGCTAACTGGTCTACGAAGGATTTTCCTGGAGGAGACACATATTACAGACAGTAAAGGAGAAAGAGTACCTGCATGCGGGGTGGAATGAGGTAGTGGAGAAAGAGTGTGCGTCTGTGGGATGGGGCAAGGAGGTGATACTACTGCCAGGAGGTCAGGCTTCCACCCCAGGTTGGAAATGCCTGGAGTTTAAGATCCACTGATATTAGAACTAGAAGACGAGCATGGTGGGCTCCATCTCCTGATGTGGCTTAGGAACCCCCATTCCTTGATGGCAGGGGTGCAAAGTTTCAATCCCAGTGGCTAACTCTTACCTTTCTCTCTGCATATGATTTTTATAACAACATATACAATGATTGTAGAGTCTTTTTCTACTTTTCTAGTGCCATTGCTTTTTCTACATTATTTACAAAAACAAATCACAGCAACCAGCATATACAAAAGAAAACTGGCATGCTGACGTATAATGACCTCTCCTCTCCACCAGTAGCTCCTATCATACATCAATGAACATTAACCAATCTCCCTCAGCCAGTCTGTGTGATGATGGTTTCCAGAACCTACTGTGCACAGACTCATTTAGTACTGCCAATAGGATTCCAAGGTGGTTCTCACCTGTAAACTGTAGAACAATACTCATTACTAATTATTTTTCTCAGGGACTGCAATAAGAAAGTGAACGATTGTTTATTGCAACCGTTAACACCACAAAGCATGATTGAGTACACCACAACAGTGATTCAAATTCTAAACTTTTATACCTTTAAACAAAAAATTACAGCTACTGAAACCCTGTTTTTCTGCATACTTTGTTTTCTCTCCTTATAAAACATAAACCTTCAATCAATTCTGATTTTGCCCATGCATTAAGCTACTTGGTTGTAAACCCCAAAGTTAATTATGTAAAGACACTACACCATGGTGAAAACCTGACTTGGAAAAATTAGACCGACAGCTAAGGGAAGTTCTTAATATGAATGAGTGTTTCAAGGATGATCATAATTACTAGAAAGCATGGAGAGTATTAGGAAGGAAGAGAAAGAAAGGCAAGCCAAATGACTTAAATAGGAGAGGCTGGTTTTGCAATGCAGCCTTGGGAGCGAGCAAGGCAGCGCACACCATCTGTCAGGGAGGAGGAAAGCAAAAGGAGTCAAGCTGGAACATCTGACCGTGCTCTGAGGTGGTGGTTAAGTGATCCTGGGTAGAAAGGGGATTATAAAGCCTGATGTACTGGGGGAGTCTTGGAAGAAAACTCAGGGTGTACAGTTCACCCTCTCTAGTTTTGAGAGCCAGAGTTACCTGAAGTTCTCTTATCTGAGCTACCTCATTTATGCTGTCTTTTGAGTGTTAGGATTAGGAAATAAGTCAAGACACTATAATGAAAAAAATCCCGTTTTGTTGAAACACCAATTTCTACTCACCTAATGGTATTATCTGATGATCCACTAACAACCAGTCGATCCCTGTACTGCAGACAGGCAATGCCTCGCTTGTGCCCATTGAGAGTACGAACAAATTCACAGGTACTTGTGCTCCAGACCTGTATTAACAAATTAGGGTATTTTGAAAAATGAATACAGAAAAATCTTCCCATCATATATCTTTTTTTAAAAATGGGAGTTTCTGAGAACAGCACAAATTTACTTGTTTATGAAATAAACACAAGTATTAAGTCACAAATAGCACTGATACATGGTTCCAGTTCACACATCTCTGCAACGCGTGGATACCTGCAGACAAGTTCTGTCAGTAATACCTTATTAGTCTCACTAGCGTGCCTTAAAAAAGTAAACAACAACAACAAAAAGTAAACAAGCATGGAATAATTTGGTTTTGAGGTCAACGTTTTAACAAAACTCAAGTGGACATCTTTCCAAATCACTGAAGGTTTGTTAACTGTTTAAAGGAATGCTATCCACATAAAACAACAGCTTGTAGATGGATCAAATGTTTTCAGGTTTGGGAGGACTCAAAGATGAGCCAATAGAGAGGACTGTCAAACTCGACAAATGAAGAAAACGTGGCTGAAGTTCAGAAACTGGGTCAGGTTAATACCAAGGTAGAGAGGCCAGCTCAGAAGGTTATGGTGGCTATTTTCTGAGACCCCAAAAGGTACTTCAACTTTTTTTTTTTTAATATAGTTTTGATTTTTGATTTTTAAGTGCTGTTTTTTAAATTGTGAACTGGGTAAAGTTTGCAGAGCAGATCAATTTTTCATCAGACAGATCATTCATACTCATTTTGTTTCATCTCACTGGCTGCAATCCTCACAATGAAACATCTCTTCTACACTTCTTTCCTGTGGTTTTTTGTTTCCATTCCTCCTTCTTTCCTACCCTTTCTGAAAATTGTCCTTGGGCAAATACTGCCCTTTTGATACAAAATGGCTGATTTTATTTTCTAAGGTGTGTATACCTTTATAAAGCCACTGTTCCCCCCCTATAGCCTTATCTTTGAGTGGCTAAAAATTGACCCATGGAGGTGAGTTCATTTCCAGACTTGAAGGGTGACCAGGGGCCACAGTCTCAGGGGTTCCACCAATCTCTATCTGACCAGTAAGCCTATCTTTTTTATGATTTTCAGTGTTGTTCGACATCTTTCTCCTACTCTATTCAGGGCCTTTTATTGTGATCCTTCTCAGAACAGTTGGTAGTGGTAGCCAGGCACCATCTACTTCTTCTGATCTCATGGTTGTAGAAACTGATGTTGCCATGGTCTAACAGTCCACCGGACTAACTGTTACCATGTGTCTTTGATTTCCACACTTCTTTTCTAGAGACAGGGAGAGACAAATAGTTGTACCTTAGATGGCTGCTCACAAGCTTCTAAGACCCTAGTCACTACTAACCAAAGCAGGATGTAGAGAGAATTGTTTCTGTGGATAATGTTAATCAAATTGACCTTGGTGCCCTACCCCTGAGACTATGATGCTTCACTCCCAGGCCCAAAGAATCATTCCCTCAAGGTTTCTGGATGTAGCTAAAAGTTTTCATATCTTTGACCCTGTATGCTCCACCACATCCATGGATTTATTTGCAGAAAAAAGCCAGCAAAGTTATGCTGAGGAATTTGTTTTTATCATGACTATATACCTGTTCATTCTTTGAGGGTAGCAATGACTGTCCTCTGAGAATTTCGTTAGGAAACTTTACTCTGTTTTTGACTCTTCAGACTCCTTTGTTTCCAAAACTCAAAGAACATTTTAAAAGAGCGTAATGTGAATCCATTAAGTATGCCAAAACTGCCATTTTAATCTGGTGTAAATCAAACAGCACAGAATTCTTTGGGAAAGGATTAGAGAGATAGAAAATACCCCCTTCAACAGTGTATATATAGGTCAAATGGAGGAGATGTTGAGAACAATAGCTTCACATCTTTTTGTTTAAAAAACAAACATTGCGGTAATTTTGTAGCCATGCTTTTTGACAATCTCTTCTAACTCAAAGCTGGGAGGCTGGGGGAGAGATTGGAAAGTAAAAACTCTTCTTGGCTGCTGAACGATAATAAAACAGAGTAAAACAGAGAGAAACAGTGAAGTCTCCAAACCTTAAGCTCTTCAAAGAGATCATCTCCTGGAAGGTTCTGACATTCACTTGCTTAACAGAAGACTTTGGGCCAGATATTATATTTTAATGCCAGGAGGCATGTCAAACCATATGTAACTGATATGAAAAAGCTTCACCCTTCATGTCCTCCTCTTTTACAACAAGCTTCTTGAACACCTAGCTCCACTTGTTTGGACACATTGCTCCTAATACTATATATGTGGAACAAATAATCTCCTCTTGTGAATCTCCTGCAAGACTTAAATGTTCACAGACACACAATAATTACAAACCAACTAGGGAGATGCAAAGAGTGCCCCTGATTATTTTACCAGTTGCATCTGTAGCTGTGTTAACATTAGCGGAACTGGAAATCTACATGGACCTCTCCCGTTTTGAATAGGAAAAATATTAACTCAAAATGGATCAAAGATCTAAATGTAAAAGTATAAAACTCTTAGAAAAAAACACTAGAGCGAATCTTTGTGACCTTGGATTAGGAAATGGGTTCTTAAATATGACAGCAAAAGCTTAGGGAACTAAAGAAAAAAATTAGAGAAACTGGAGTTCATCAAAACTTAAACCTTTCGTGCTGCAGAGAACACAGGGCACCATCAAGAACGTAAAAAAATAATCCACAGAATGGGTGAAAATAGGTGCAAATCATGTTATCTGACAAGGAACTTGAGTCCAAAATGCAAAAAGAACTTTTATAACTGAACAAGAAAAAGTAAGTAAGCTATACAAATCATCAACAAACGTATTAAAAACAAAGATAACAAAATGTATTGGTAAGAATGTGCAGAAATTGGAACCCTAACACATTGCTGGTGGAATTGTAAAATGTCACTCTGGAAAACAGTTTGGCAATTCCTCAAAATGTTAAGACATACTGTTACTGTTTTGTTATTGTTAAGGTAAATTAAGTCAGTTCTGACTCATAGCCACCCTATATAAGGTTTTGAGGAGCGGCTGGAAGTTTGAGCCTCGGACCCTTCAGTCAGCAGTCCAGTGCTTATTCTACAGTGCCACACCAGGACTCCAAAGTTACCACCATATAATCTAGCAATTCCACTCCCAGATATATGCCAATATAAATTTGTACGCCAATATTCCTAACAAAATTATTCCAAACAGGCAGAAAGTGGGAACAAGTCAAATGTTCATAAACTGATAAATGATTAAACTGTTGTTGTTGTTGTTGTTGTTAAGTGCCATCAAGTCGATTCTGACCCATAGCGACCCTGTATAGGGTTTCCAAGGAGCAGCTGGTGAGCTTGAACCGCCAACCTTGCAGTTCAAACGGCTTTGCAGTCTGGCGCATTAACCCACAGCGCCAATAGTATATACATAAAATGGAATATTCTTAGGATCTAAAAAAGGAATAAAGTATTGATACATGTTACAAAATGGATGAACATTGAAAACATTATGATACGTTTATTAAAAAAAAAAAAAAAAAGCCAGACACAAAAGGCCACATACAGTATGATTACATTTACATGAACTGTCTAGAATGGGTAAATCCAGAGAGACAGAGTTGATTAGTGGTTGCCAGGAACCAGGGGAAGAAAATGAGTAGAGACTGCTAACGTGTAGGGAGTTTCTTATTTTACTCATTTGGAGGTGGGTGGTGGGGTGAGGGTGGTGATAATGAAAATGTTCTGGAATCAGAAAGTAAGGATGTTACACAACATTGTGAATATACTAAACACCAGTGAAAGGTGAATTTTATGGTGAGTGAATTATGTATCAACAATGTTGCTATAAAAGCACAAGAAAGCTATGAACACTATTTACCATATATATGAGTCAAAACCGACTCGATGGCACTTAACAACAACAACAATGGATCACCCTTGTGGTGCTGTGGGTTAAGCGTTGGGTGGCTAACCACGAGGTCAGCAGTTCAAGCCCACCATCTGTTCCACAGGAGACAGATGAGGCTGTCTGTTCCCATAAAGATTTTCAGTCCACACAGGGTCACTATTATGAGTTGAAATCAACTCGATGGCAGCGGGTTATGTATCACCCTAGACCACAGGGTTCTGTGAGATGGTAGTGTATGTTAGCGCTCTTCCCCTTAAAAAATGTTACCAACAATGTCATTGGATAGAGGACTGTTCTCTACCTTGGACTCACGACCCATTCCCCCCTATCTTGCTGTGACTATGGGAGTCTGAGGAATGGAATGGCCTCAAGGGATCCTGAACAAAAACAGAGGAGAATAAGATCCAGTTAGGTACCCAGCTGGTAGAAGCCAACTGCTTTCTATATATTCTAAAAGGCATGACAGCAAACACACTTACTTTGATAGTTCTGTCACCGGAGGCAGACACAATGTATTTATCATCAAAATCTACTACGTTGACAGCAGCACGATGGCCAACCAGGACACGGCGTAAAGTGATATCAGTGGCAGATGCCATGTCCCACACGGCGATGGAGCGGTCCTTGGAACAGGTCACCATGAGTCCATTGCTGAAGCGTAAGTGCAGTACAGCCTCATTGTGGTGGATCAGCGTGTTGAGAACTTCACCCGTGTTCACATCCCAGACTCTAGGTGACAACAGAAGAGCATGGTGCTTACTTACTCAGACTGTTGTGTCTAAGCTCTGGACCCACTCTATCAGCAGACCAGGTGCTGTGGACTCTATTTCTGTTTGGCAGCTGGGACCTGATACTTAGGTACATTCTCAACAGGAACCCCCAGATGCAATTTTTTCATTTGTTGAGCAGTGTTGAGATAGTGTCACAGAACATGAATTCTAGTTCTGCCAAGGATTAGGCTTTTTGACAATCAAGAATTAGGAGAGTGTATTTACAGGCTAGCGTTAATGGCAAAAGATGGCTCCTTAAGTGAGTGGACATTGCAGTGAGTTTGAAATGACAGGAAGGAATGTGGAGGCTGGAGAATTGGGGAATACGTAACTCTTCAGGAACAAAGCCTCCTAAGTGTTTCACCCTGGAACACAGAGTTCTTAAAGGCAGCCCTCTCACATCACAGCTATTGGTACCTGTCTCCCAAGAAGCCATTTTCATATAGAGCAGAGGAGGAAAGACTCGGACTTCTGAGTTGGAGACATGACTGGTGACAGAGGCAGCGACCCAGAACCTGAGTCAGTGAAAATAGAGCAGAAGGGATGGGAAAGGGACCAGCACAGAAAGCGAACAAAGGAAAGAAGTGAAAGGAGGTGAAAGTGGGAACCCAAGGACAGGCTGGATGGCTCCTGTAAGACATTGCTCTTCAGTATCTGGCTCAGCCCAAAAGAGACCTCTCCTCCTCCGCACTGCAGGCCTTCCCCAAGCCAACAGCACTGCTCAACACCACACCTGACTCCAAAGCCCATACTATGTGGGGAAATGTCCTTGCTCCAGTGCTTGCTGCCCACCATTTTGCTAGAATATCTGCCTCCCTTCTCTCTGCTCTGGGCGACAGTCTAGCAGGCAGAGACAGCTAGCCTATATCAGACAATCTGATTTTACAGGAAAGCATGTGGCCCCCCTTCTAATGGACAGCAATGTTATTGTTGTTAGTTGCCATCAGATCAATTCTAACTCGTGTGCACAGCAGAACTACTCCGTAGTTTCTGAAGCAGTGGCTTTTTAGAAGCAGAGTACTAGGCCTGTCTTCTGAGGCATCTCTGGGTGGGCTCCAATAGCCAATTTTCTGGCTACCTGTCCAGTGCTTACCTGTTTGTGCCATACTAGGGTTTCCACAAAGACAAAAGAACCCACTTTACCAAAATTAACTTTCCTGCTTACTTTGCTGAAATGTATCTACATCTCCAGTAATTTTGAACGACAGCATATAAAAACATGTGCAAACAACGCTCCTGCATTGCTGGTGGGCTTGCAAAATGGTCCAAACTCTCTGGAAAGCAATATGGCACTTCCTCAGAAGGTTGGAAACAGAAATACCTTAGGAGCCAGCAATTCCACTATTTAGGATTTACCCACAAGAAAAACAAGCCATAACATGCACACCAATGTTCATAGCAGTACAATTTACAATAGCAAAAAGATGGAGGCAGCTGACATCTTTGCTCTTCAACACTTTAAAAAGGTCTTGTGCAGATTTGCCTAATGCAATACGTCATTTGAGTTCTTGACTGCTGCTTCCATGAGTGTTGATAGTTGATCCAAGATTGAAGTCCTTGACAACTTCAATCTTTTCTCCATTGATAAGAATGTTGTTTATTGGTCCAGTGGTGAGGATTTTTGTTTTCCTGACATTGAGATGCAATCCATACCGAAGGTTGTGCTCTTTGATCTTCATCAGTAAATGTTTCAAGTCCATTTCACTTTCAGCAAGCAAGGTTGAATCATCTGCATATCGCAGGTTGTTAATGAGTCTTCCTCCAATCCTGATGCCACATTTTTCTTCATAGAACCCAGCTTCTCGGATGATTTGCTCAGCATACAGGTTGAATAAATATGGTGAAAGAATACAACCTTGTCGCACACCTTTCTTAATTTTTAAACATTCAGTGTTCCTATGTTCTGTTTGAACAACTGCCTCTTGGTCCAGGTACAGATTCCTCATGAGCACAGTTAAGTGTTCCGGAATAGTCACCGTTCACAATGTTGTCCACACAATCGAAAGCCTTTGCATAGTCAATAAAGCACAGGTAAACATCTTTCTAATATTCTCTGCTTTCAGCCAAGATCCATCAGACATCAGCAATGATATCCCTCATTCCACGGCCTCTTCTGAATCTGGCTTGGACCTCTGGAAGTTCTCTGTCAATGTATGATTGTAGCCATTTCTGTATTACCTTTACCCAAACTTTACTTGCATGGGATAGCAAAGAGATTGTCCGATGATTTCCGCATTCTGTTGGGTTACCTCTCTTTGGAATGGGCACAAATATAGATGTCTTCCAATCAGTCAGCCAGATAGCTGTCTTCCAAATTTCTTGGCAGAGATGAATGAGTGCCTCCTGTGCCGCCTCATTTTCTTGAAAGATTTCTATTTTGATTCCATCAATTCCTGGTGCCTTGTTCTTTGCCAGTTCCTTCAATGCACCTTAGATTTCCTCCTTCAGGATCATTTGATCTTGATCATATGCTACCTCTTGAAACAGTTGAATATGAACTATTTCCTTCTGGTACAGTGACTCTGTGTATTCCTTCCATCTTTTCTTGATGCTTTCTGCATCATTCAATAATTTGCCCAGAGAATCTTTCAATAAAGAAAGTTGAGGCTTGAATTTTTTCTTCAGTTTCCCCAGCTTGAGAAATGCTGAGTGTGTTCTTTCTTTTCGGTTTTCTGATTCCAGATCTTTGCATATTTTGTTGTAATATTTGGCTTTATCTACTCAAGCTGATCTTTGAAATTTTTTGTTCTGCTCTTGGACCTCCTCATTTCTTCCGTTTGCTTTAGCATCTCTACACTGGAGAGCAAGTTTCTGCATCTCATCTGATATCCATTTTGACCTTTTCCTTCTTTCTTATCTTCTCAATGATTTTTTGCTTTCTTCATGTATGATGTTCTTGATGTCATCCCACAACTCTTCTGGTCTTTGGTCTTTAGTGTTTTAATGTATCAACTCTGTTCTTCAGATGATCTCTAAAATTTAGGTGGGATATATTCAAGGTCATATTTTGTGGACTTGTTTTCATTTTCTTCAGCTTCAGTTTGAATTTGCATATGAGTAATTGATGGTCTGTTCCACAGTCTACCCCTGGCCTTGTTTTCACTGATGATATGGAGTTTTCCATCTTCTCTTTCCATAGATATAGTCAATTTGACTTCTATGTATTCCATCTGGTGAGGTCCATCTGTATAGTCGTCTCGTATGCTGTCTAAAGAAGATATTTGAAATGAACAAATCATTGATTTTGCAGAATTCTATCATGCGTTCTCCAGTATCATTTTTATCACCAAGGCCATATTTTCCAACAACTGATCCCTCCTCTTTGCTCCCAATCTTTGCATTCCAATCACCAGTAAAGATCAATACATCTTGATTGCATGTTTGATCAATTTCAGATTGAAAAAGTTGGTAGAATTCTTATATTTCATCCTTATTGGCTTTAGTGGTTGGTGCGTAAACTTCAATAATAGTGGTATTAACTGGTCTTCCCTGTAGGCGCATGGATATTATCCTATCACTTACAGCATTGTACCTCATGACTGATCTGGATATGTTCTTTTTGACAATGAATGCAACACCATTCCTCTTAAATTTGTCAATCCCGGCATAGTACACCATGTGGTTGTCAGATTCAAAATGGCCAATACCAGTCCATTTCAGCTCTCACTAATGCCTAAGGTATTGATGTTTATGCGTTCCATTTCGTTGAGATTCGGGATGCCAACCTTAAGGCTAGCAGTTCGAAACTACCAGCAGTTCTACAGGAGAAAGATGAGGCATTCTGCTCCAGTAAAAATTTACAGCACTGGAAACCCTGTGCAGGGTTAGAGAATAGATTCATGTTAATTGGGTGATGGGAAGGGAAATGTACAAGAAGAGGGAGGTTGTCTGAAAAATGATGAAGACACAGGTATCTCATGCAAAGCATAGACGTTCAGATGGATGAAACCTCACCTTACTGTTGAGTCTGAAGAGCCAGTTACAATGACACGTTCATCATACTGGAGACAAAGGACAGAGCCTGTGTGGCCCGTTAATACTTTCAAACATTCCAAGCTGGTTTTATCCCAAATCTATTGAGATAAGATTCACAATAAAAATTATTTAGAAAGTCATTTTGATAAACGTTATTGCCTGACCTTATTTTCTAAATAAAATATAACATAACTCTGTTACAGTAAATTGTTGTTATTAAGTGCCGTCAAGTTGGTTCGGACTCATAGCAATCCCGTACATGGTTTCCAAGGAGCGGCTGGTGAGTTTGAACTGACAACCTTGTGGTTCAAATCGGCCTTGTGGTCCAGAGTATTGAACCGCAGGACCACACCAGGATTCCCATTACAGTAAGTAAGACAAGGTATATGCCAAACAGATAGGAAATGAAAAGAAGGAAAAAGGAGCAAATGTTGCCATCCATAATAGACATAAGATTTTGTTTACTTTATACCTTTTTCAGCATTATACTCACTATACTTATCAACAGCCTGTATATAATTGGCTTTTTAAAAATAAGATCTGTGAAACGAGTTGGCTCACCATCTGGATATCAACTTGACAGCATCTATCAAGAGGATTGAAAAGTTCATATCCCTTACTCTATCATGGATGTTTATTTTAAAAAAAAGGAAAGGAAAACTGAGATGTTGGAATGCTCAACATTATAGAAAATTTCCAAAGGCTTTTTAATGAGAAAGTACAATGCCTAGTCCTCTGCCGTAACAGTGATCCTTTACAACAGAGCAGAACTCCTTAGAGCTTCCAAGATTGTGAAGTTTTACGGGAGCTGATAGTCTGTCTCATCTTTCTCCCACAGAGATGGGGTAAATTTGGACCACCGACCTTGTAGTTAACAGTCTAATGCTTTAACCACCATGCCACCAAGATGCCATATATTGGTACTAAATTTTCAAAATAAAGAGTCTACATAGTAATATCACTGCTATTTATTCTTAAAAGAGAAAACAAATCAAAAGTAAAACAATAATAGATGCTTTTGCACATGGGAGTGTTTACTTTCACCCTTCTTTTTACATTCCTGCTGTTGTTGTGAAGTGCCATCGAGTTGGTTCCGACTCATAGCGATCGTGTACAGGGTTTTCAAGAAGCAGCTGTTGGTTTCTCAACCACCGATATTGTGGTTCACAGTCCAGGGTTGGGTTTGAACCACCGATATTGTGGTTCACAGTCCAGTGTTGATCCTACAATGCCACACAAGAAGTCTCCTATCTATCTTACTAGTCTTCCAAATTTCAGTATTATCCATAATGTAAAGGGAGATGAGAACTGATATTTTCAGAGATTGGACTGTTAAACATAAACTATGTACCTGTTTCTTCACTGGAAAAACACTACTACAATAATGTGCAGTTTCCCTGAAGTCTACTGCAAATGGCAAACATATTACAGTGCTATTGGCATTAGTGTCGAGCTGGGACTGATGTGATGGTAGTGGGTTGGAGTAGTATGGTAGCAAGGTTTGCTTGTTAGTTCTGACCTAGTAGAAACCAAGTTATTCTGAAAAGAGCTATTAGTGCCCAGGACTGGTGGGGAATTAAATATAAAAGGTTTCCAATCACTCAACTAGGTCATCTCTCTATAGTGCATTTCTGCTATACTACTATATGTCTTACCAATCAAATGGACAAATCATTCCTAAGCCTTCTAAGCCATTCATTTAAATACAAGTGTATCTCTGTTAACTAATCCTTTAGAAACACATTCAGTAAGTGAACTGAAAGCTCAGGGCCAGCCTATGCTTTGTTAAACCATTCTTTTCTATATCTTACAGCAGAATGACTAAAATTACATAGGAATAAATCAGTCTTCTAGACTATACAAGGGGGCTTCAAAACTTCATGAAAAAATTATATTAGTAACAGTTGTGAGGATGACACAGCGTTTCATTGTGCTGTGTGTAGGATCGCTATGAGTAACAACAACAGATACACATATGCATCTGCAAAAATGCAACTTTAAAATTAGACTGAATTGTACTTTCTGACCTTGCATTTGGCAGACATTAGACCTAAAATTAAACACAAATTATTTTCCTAGGCTTTTCAGTCTTCTGTTTTCTTTTTCTTTAATTCATGGTCATTTTAATTTGGCACTGTGGGATCAGCATTGGACTGCAGATGAGGACCACAAAGTTGACAGTTTAAATCCAGCAGTTGCTCTTCGAAGTCCTGTGCTGGGTCCTATGAGTCGGAACTGACTTGACAGCACTTAAGAACAACAACACACACATATGTGTTGTTGTTAGGTGCCATCTAGTCAGTTCCGACCCATAGCGACCTTGTATAGGATTTCTGAAGAGTAGCTAGTAAGCTTGAACTGCCAACCTTGCAGTTCAAACTGACTTTGCAGTTCAGTGCATTAACCCACAAGCACCACACCAGGACACACACACACTCTCTTATATATATATATGAGAGAGAGATAGTCCTGGTGAGACACTCTAGGATCAACACTGGACTGCGAACTACAAGGTCAGCAGTTCAAACACATAAGCTGCTCCTTGGGAACCCTACATAGGGTCAAAAAAAAAAAAAAAATTAACATTATCTTTTAATTAAATTTCTCCATGAACATTTTTGAAGACCCCTCACATTTGTGGTCACGGGTTAGGGCTATCAATAAGTATTACATAAAAGCAGAGTTCTGTGGTCAAATACGTTTGGTAAGTTGAGAAACACTGACATCTCTGTGCTGGCCTCCTCAGAACCTTTTATGTGCTATGGAATCTGCATGCCATGTTTTCTAAATTTTCTTGAAGGAAAGTGTTCTTTGCCTAAAATGTGTATTACCATTCTTTAGATTCGCATCTGCAGAATTCCTTTTGGTATGTGCTTGTCAAAACTCACAAAACTTTACACCAGAAACAGCGAGTTTTCCTGTGTAAATTAAAACTAAAGAAAAATCAAATTTGTTTAAGGCTACTCAATGTATTCTCACATACGAGAATATAAATTACAATGTAAAAAAAAAAAAAACAATCAATTGACAGCCACCAACTAGATGATTTTAACATGGATAATTGTTCACAATTAATCTGCTATTGAAAGGTGAATAAAAACAAAAGAGACCACTGTATGTTTCTTCTGTGCCTCATCTGACTCCTTCTCAGAACCCATTAAAAGGTAAGGACTTTGATTTACAGGCCAGCTAACAATACTTCAATCAGCAGGCCACGGTAATCAAGAGTCCTGTGATACCAGGGTATTTTCTATTTGCACCTAAATACAGAATACAGAATGTGAATGTGCTCAGAGTAGGATAAGGAATGAGATAATCCAGGGGTCTTGTGTTAGCTATAGAGAAAAGCTCTGGCTCTAGCTCTTTAGAACCACATTGAGAGCTGTCAAGTAGATAAGAAACAATCTAGAGTAAATGGAGAGATTGTCATATCTGGTGTCTAACATATAACCAGTATTTCTAAAAATACTACAAACAAAATGCAGTCACTCACCTTAATAGAATTATCTCGTAGGCCACTGATAATTTTTTCATCATCATACTGTAAACAGTAGACACCTTTACTATTTTCAGAGCGGCACTGAATCCTCTGCAAGTTGTGCCGTCCACACCGCCAATTAGATTCTATAGTCTAGGGAAAAAAGAGAGGGAAAGATGAGTTGTTATAAATCAACCGTTCTATTAAATAGCTTCAGACTTGGGTTTGCGTCCAGAAACAGCATAGGAATGATCCCCCATTCTTGGTTTGCATAACTGTCTGTGGAGAGGAATCATGCCCTTTTCCAAGTAAGACGCTGAGTACAACTATGTTTTTTCTCAAACTTTCCCTGTCTGGCAACTAACATAAGCTTGCCAATGGACTTTGGGTTAGGTTTGAGTAAAATAGCCCAGACAGAATTCAGTAAGTTTGAAGAATGCCATTTGCACCCAAAATATACAAATAAATACTCTCTCCCGCTAACACCAGTTAAAGTATTTAGCAAAAGACCACCACCACCATCATCAAGCATATACTAACAACCTATGTTGTTATTAAGTGCCGTTGAGTCAATTCCGACCCATAACAACCCATTATAGGATTTCCAAGGAGCAGCTGGAGAGCTTGAGCCACTGACCTTGCAGTTCAAATGGCTTTGCAGAGTGGCACATTAACCCACGGCGCCACACCAGGACTATGCCAACAACCTATATACCAACCACCTATATACCTATCCAAATTATCTCGATTACTGAGAAAAGATACTATTACATATCAACTATAAAATGAGAAGTCCTGGTGTGGTGCAGTGGGATAATGCACTGGACCAACTGCGAGGTAGGTTTAAACCACAAGGTTGGCGATTCAAACTCACCAGCTGCTCCTTGAAAACCTTATACAGGGTCGCTATGAGTCAGAACCAACTCGGTGGCACTTACCAACAACAGTAACTATAAAAGGAATTTTGTTATCACTTTTAATCTCTCATCAGACTGACATTAACTTAAGAGTAAGAATGATACATTTCAGCCTTGGACTCTCATTCTCTCATCATTCATGCAATGGTACTGAGATGCTAGTATATTCCAGGAATCCTGGTATGGCTCTGTAGGATAAGCACTGATTGGCTAAAGACAAAGTTGGCCGTTCAAACCCACCAGCCACTCCTTGGAAACACTATGAATCAGAAATAACTCAACGGTACTTAGCAACAAAAAGTATATTCCAAGTACTATGCAAGGCCCAGGTCCTGGAAAGATCCCAGATCAATAGGAAGCAAACTAAAGTCAAAGGATGCACAAAGTACTGGAATCAAGTAAACAAATAACCTAAATTTATTTAGTTACATAATCCACATAATAACCTTGGGAAGAAGTTCTTATTACTTCCCATTTACAAACTAGGAAGCAGAGTTTAATATGACTGAGGCCACAAAGCTAGTAACTGAATGAGCTGGAAATATGGAACGCCCATAAAGAAGAATAGGTAGATGAGTCCTAGTTCTTGAAGCAGTGAATGTAGAACATAAAAAGATCCATGCTAACTTCAGGAAGAAAAGACATACCACCAAAAAAGGGATAACAGAGGCAAGTGCTGCAGGACTCAAAGGTGAGAACACGCACGAGAGACTGGGACCCCGGGAAGTTGAATGCACAATGGGGGCATGTTCAGAGCCCTGAAAAACCTAACCTTTAGTAGTAGACAGGGAAGATTTTTTAGGATCAAATGTTAGTGTTTCTACTAAGAACAAACTAACTCTCAATTCCTGATCCTTGAAATTAGCAGACAGTAACTGGTTACACTCATTTCAGGGTAGAGTTTGAAAGATTATTACTGCAGAGGAACTTTTACTTGTTTTATTGAAGAAAAAAGATAAATTGCATCTTTGTCCACAATAAGCACTTCATTACTGGCTGTATTGATATCTAACAAACAGTATTTCCTCATACTTTGAAGGTAGCATGCTGGTATATGCTCTGAAATGTTAAAATCTTCTGAATGCTATGTGTCATGTACTATGCTACAGACATATTGTCAGGAGGGACCAGTTGCTGGAGAAGGATATCAATGTTTGGTAAGGTGGAGGGTCAGAGAAAAAGAGGAAGACCCCCAGCGAGATGGATTGGCAAAGTGGCAGAATTGTGAGGTTGGTCCAGGACTGGGCAGTTGTTTCTTTCTGTTGTGCACAGGATCACTATGAGTTGGTAAGTAACTCGATGGCACCTAACAACAACAACAACAAAATGTGTTTCATGCAATAGCTGTTTAATTTAATTAACACAACTCTGCAGCAGGAATTACTGTTCTACCTTCACAGAAAAAATAAATGGAGGGTTGTAGATACTGACACACACACGTGTTGTTGTTAAGTGCTGTCGAGTTGGGTTCTGACCCATAACAACCCTGGAACAGACACACACACGCACATGTACACAAGGGTAAATAAACAAGTATTGCTACTAGGGTTCCAGTTCATACATGCACAGGTTTATTTCATGCTTAAACATATCTCTGCAATCAGTGACTGGCTGCAAACAAATTCTCTCAATGATACACTTGTCTTAGTCTTGTTAGAGTGCTTTAAAAAAAAAAAAAAAATTCCAATCAAAACCATGACTTCTGAGGTTAAGTTTTACTGAGCTGGTTAATGGTTAAATTCCAGGCAGAGAAGTCAGCTCCAAAGGTTACTGGGATTATTTTATGGAATTACAAATGGATCATCTTGATAGATTTTCTCAGACGCAGGATGATCACAGGGGCTTAGGAAGTAGTTCTAAGAAAATTTAAAACTACACTGGTGAGGAAAAGGCCACGAAAATTGTGCTGAGGAATTTTTTTCCACCACTGCAGTGCTCATTCTTCAAGGGTATCAGAGCTTTCCTACAAGAATTTCTCTGGGAACTCAGCCATATGAAAATAAAGATGCTTGATACTCCGAGCAAGTGTAAACTGCTACAATGTGATGAACTGGACCTTTACTTATGGATGCAGCTGCTCAAAATTCCAAGTGAGATGAAAGGATTCTTCATATCAAGGATCAAGCTTGTCTCCTCAGTGCACTGGGTTGATAGGGACGGGCAACTTACACATCAGTTATCAAAAATGGTGGGCTATAAAGAAATGGAGTCCTGGTGTGGTGCTGTGGGTTAATGCGCCAGACTGCAAAGCCGTTTGAAATGCAAGGTCGGTGGTTCAAATTCACCAGCTGCTCCTTGAAAATCCTATACAGGATCGCTATGGGTCAGAATCGACTCAATGGCACTCAACAAAAACATAAAGCCACAAAGTGCCTGGCTTACCAGCGTTCATGAGTGTGTTTAGTTTCAGAACAACAGGGGTAATGTAGAATTCCCACTGAATAGTTTTCCTCTTTAACAGACTGATCTGGTAATAAAAGGGGTTGGAAGATGATGCTGATAGGATTTTGTGATTCAGCTGTAATTGTTATCAGGATCAATAGCAACTGTCACAACTGCAATTGTAGAAGACTTGTAACTAAAATTGGGGAGTAGTTAATCTTTCATTTTAGGGACAGAGGATCCCAGAAACATCAAGAAGGAAGAACATGAGTGGAGCATGTGATCCTACCTAGACAAGAGTTGACAGTAAAGACGGTGGCAGAGGCGATGATGCAGAGAGACAGAGCAACAAAGGACTATATAGGTCCACGGACTGAGAAAGGCTTTGTGCCTGTGGAAAAGAGGTTGGCTTGCAAAATGTGCCATATGGACATTTAAAGGAATATATATTTTTTGTTTTGTGTGTGTACAGCAAATATTTCTGCTTTCTTGATTTGTGAAAAGTAAGATAAAAAAGGAAAATCACAGGGAGGAAGCAGTATAACTGTTGTTGCGGGGGTGGGGTGGGGGACTATAAACACTTAGATGAACAAAATGTAAGACTGGTTGAAAGTAAGGCTGATGATCTTGTCTGTTAACCTTCACTCACTTCACAATTAAGATATTAAAAAACGTATCTTAAAAATATTAATAATTTCTTTGGGAAACTTCATAATCCACTGTACAAGCCTGATTTTGCCTTTATGCTTCTTTTGGTTCTGAAAACTCCAAGAACATTGAAAAGAACACAATTTGAGTCCCTTAAAGATGCCCAAACTGACATTTTGACGTGGTGTAAAAATTCAGTGAGTGCAGAATTCTTTGGGTAAGGGTTGCTGTTGTGAAGTGCTGTCGAGTTGGCTCCAACCCATAGTGACCCTGTATAGGGTTTTCGAGGAGCAGCTGGTGAACTTGAACTTCCAACCTTTTGGGTAAGAGTTGTTGCTGTTGTTAGGTGCCATCAAGGTCAGTACTGACCCATAGTGACCTTATGCACAGCAGAACAAAACACTGCCCAATCCTGGGCCAACCTTGCTACTGTTGCCACACCTGAATCCATCGATGCTGCCACTTGGCCAATCCATCTTTCCTTTTTTTCTCTGACCCTCCATCTTACCAAACATGATATTCTTCTCCAGCGGCTGGTCCCTCCTGACAATATGTCCGAAGCATGAGAGACCAAGTTTGGCCATCTTGGCCTCTAAAGAGCACTCTGGCTGCACTTCTTCCAAAATGGATCTATTGGTTCTTTTGGCAGCCCATAGCACTTTCAGTATTCTCCTCCAACACCATAACTCTAAAGCATCAATTCCTCTACGGTCTTCCTTATTCAATGTCCAGTTTTTCGAGAGATGGAAATTCTGCCTTCAGAAGTGTATAGACCTAGATGGTAGTTATATCGTGAAACAATATCTTGATATTTTGATAGCTTTGTTTAATAAAGGTTTCTATGAATTTGTAGCAATGTATTTTAACTTACTCTCATACTTTGAAAGGGTAATGTTCCCTATCTGTGGCTCCCATTCTTAACACACATGGTCCTGGAAATAGAATCTCTGCCCTCAAGGAGTTTCTACGCACAGTCTCGAGAGAGGGCAGAGTAGCATACTTCTAACACCCAGGGGTGTAAAGAAGTGGCACAAAGACGTGAAGAGCAAGAAAATGTGCACCTGTCCATCTACTACACCAAGCTGGACTGTTCCAGCCAACAGCAACATCTCTAGTGAGTTTGGAAAATGTCAGATGGATAAAACCACATTTCAGTGCCCTATCCCACCCCCCAACCCCCACCTCAAAAAAACAAATTTATTCAAC